AAACAATTTACCAAATTGCACAAACAAGTCAACTTGACATATGATAATTTATCCAGAACCAAATACCGGTCCTACTCGGTACATGACCAGTGACCGGCCTCACCTACCTCACCGAAGCATAACCGCTTATCCGGGCTATTGGTGCAAGCTATTGGCAAGGTCTATTCGATCCATGTACGGAGCGTTTCCATGTCATTTAGCTAGACAAATCAACACTGACTACACAAAACAACTTCATAGAATTTATCAAATAACCAGAGTACTCAAACGTGTCAATAAAATGATTTCACAAGATTTATCAAATGATCACAATAATCAAGATTACAAATTGGAAGTAATTAAAATAAACTCTTTGCAAAGAGATTTAAAGGAATCATATTGTATACCACCAAATTACCTCAAATCAATCTCTTCCGTCGCCAACACTCGAATGCCAATATTTCTCCATGAATCTCCAAAGTGGCATAAGGTATGTAAGGTTTCACAAAATTTACAACTCTCCTCCTTTACGAAAATGCTTACACTCACTCTAAACACTCTTAATCTAAACTCAAAATTTCTATAATTTAAGAGAGAACAATATGAGAGAGATAGAGATATGGATGGACCAAGAAGAAGAATGATAGAAATGGTTGAGAGGTGAGCTCAATTTATAGGCAAGGATACTTGGGACAAAAGAAAAGGAAAAATAATAAAATAAAGTCTACTTGGTGGGCAAGAAAGGGGTGTACTTGGAGAAAAAGAAAAATAACTTTCCTTGGAGACAAAGTAACTTGGAGTCTAAAGGAATATGGAGTGATTAGGGGACTTAATTATGTGATTAGACAAGATTTAGTTAGCCTCTAGTTGGAATGGAACTAGGTTGGGAACACAATCCCTTGTTTTAGGGGTACTTGGTACTTTTGCTTCTAGAATGCCATGATTACAAGCCTTGAAAATTGATCTCTCACACTCTCCTAGGTTGGTTGGCCATGGGGAAGGGAAATGGAGAATGTTCTATTCAATATATGTGTACTATGGATATATTCTCAATGTACATATAGATCCACAAATTGATTTGGTGGTACTATAGTATAAAAAGTACATGTACTAGTTTGGGGCAAAATCTTGAAATTAATAAAAGAAGTGAGGGCTTGGAATTAAACTCATGCATTGAAACCTTATTTATGTAGAATTAAATTAGGCTAAGGAACCTAATTCGGCTAGGATATTCCTATTCCGATAAAAATTAAAAATGCTAACCTGCAAGATTCGAGATAATTTAAGAAACTGAGGGACTTATAAGGAAATAATTCAGACGTAAGGGTTTTTAAAGAAATACATTTTTTAGGGGCTTCACATCCCTGGTTTTGCAAATGCTAAGTCCAAAGATAAAATATACAAGCTCCGAAAGTCGCTTTATGGGCCAAAGCAGTCTCTTGGGGCTTGATTTGAAAGGTTGGCTCAAGCTATGTTGAAATATGGGTTCAAGCAAAGTCAAGCTGACCACACCTTATTTGTGAAACACTCCTCACATGATAAGATCACAGCTCTTATTGTTTATGTTGATGATATTGTTCTGATAGGGGATGACGTTGATGAGATCCCTCAATTGAAGGAATACTTAGCTAAGGAGTTTGAAATCAAAGACTTGGATAATTTGAAGTATTTCTTAGGCATTGAAGTAGCTAGGTCCAAAGATGGTATCTTCATATGTCAGAGAAAGTATGTACTTGACTTGTTAAAGGAAATTGGGATGCTTGGAGGTAGACTATGTGATACACTTCTAGAACTGGGCCAGAAACTAAGTGAGGATCAAGAGGGTGAGCCAGTGGACGGGGAGATACCAGAGACTAGTGGGTAAGTTTATATACTTATCCCACTCACGTCCAGACATTGCCATTGCAGTAAGCATGGTTAGGCAGTTTATGCATACTCCTAGAACTTCCCACCTAGAGGCAGTTATGAAAATCCTGAAGTACCTGAAGTCTTCCCTTGGAAAGGGTCTCTACTTCTCAAAACATGGACATCTTGGTGTGGAAGGCTTTACTGATGCGGATTGGGCTAGATTAGTCACTAATAGAACAGTCAATCTCTGGATATTGCACATTTGTTGGCGGCAACCTAGTCACATGGCAAAGTAAGAAACAAAATGTGGTTGCTAGATCTAGTACTGGGGTAGAATTCCAGGCTATGGCTCAAGGTGTATGTGAGTTGCTATGGATCAGACTATTGTTGGGACATTTGGGGATCCATCAGACCGATTCCATGAGGTTGTACTGTGACAACAAGGCGGCGATCAGTATAGCTCATAATCCAGTTCAACATGACAGAACCAAACATGTGGAGATTGATAGGCACTTCATCATGGAAAAACTCACTAGTGGCACCATATGTACTTCATTTGTGAAGACTGGAGACCAACTAGCAAATATTCTCACCAAAGGAATAGGAAGCAAACCATTTTATAACATTCTCAACAAGCTCGGCTTGAGAAATATCTTCGCCCTAGCTTGAGGGAGAGTGTTAGAATAGGAAATTATATTCACATATGTTATTATGGTTTGATGTAATGGGCTGTAATAAGCTGGCTCATAACTCATGCCTTATGGCACTCCTGTAATTATGTTTTATTCTTAATATAAAAGGGAATGAGGTCTCACTCATTCCCTATTTCTTTCTCTTCTCTAAATCTACAAAAAGGATTTTAGTGGACAATTGAAGTGTTACAAAATGCAAGTAGAACTATGGGAGCCTAAAGATTTTCAGTTTTGGTTAGTTAGATTCCGTTCATTCATTGGTTTGGTTCTAGGTTTGGAATTTCCATAACTCACTAGGTTCATTTGGTTTTGGGTCTAGCACTAACCCAACTGAACCCAACCCAACCAACACATGCTCACCCTTACTAAAATTTTTAAGTGGAGACTTAAAATTCAAATTAGAAATTATTAGATGAAGTCTCAAGTATGTTGTTTCTATATATTTATTGGATGTCTCTCAAAGAGTTTGACCATGTATTTTGCGGACTTTATGGTTAGGGATTTCTAAACTTTTTAGTGGGCAACTAAATATTTAATTAAAGTAGAACTGTTGGTCAACATGAAGCAACCTGAGTTTTTCATTTTGGGTGGACTGAGTTCCATTCATTGTTCAGTTTGGTGGTGTGTCCAAAATTCCCATAACCAACGAGGCCTGTTTCATTCTCGGTCTGGCACTAACCCAAATGAATCGAAATTATTAAATGAAGTTTCGAGTACTAGCATACAAAATTTTAGATTTTCCATTTTATTGTTAACATGCCCGACTTCATTCTCCGCCACATTATGAGAAAGCTTGCCTTCAATGTAGTATTCTAGGAATAAAGAAAACAAATAAAAATGAACGATGGTTTGTATTCTTGGAAGATTGAAACACTTTTTGTTTTTTGGGACATGAAACTTCTACTAGGAAGCAGTAAGGACAGTATTAAGGGCCTGAGTGTTTGGAAATAAAATCAGTGGCCTGAGTGATTTGTAGATCAGGGATATGATTCGAGATGTTGTAACTAACATTGCATTCTTACTTTCAATCTTTAGACTTTGTTGAAGTTAGTATCTCAATTACCATGTTCATTAGCAATCACAACATCTGGTGAAAACTTTCAACATCTGCTTACCGTCTTGATTTTGAATTATATAGATTAAAGCTATCCTTTTGCTTTCCATAATCACTTCATTGATATTGGAAAAGCAACAGAGCTAGGCATCGATAGGGATTTTTTAAAATTGACATGTAGCAATTTTAATACCCCATTCTTGGATCAATTACTGAAATTTTGGTTGCGAAAATTTTCGTCTATACAAGTCACTTATTGCACAAAGGACTTGATTTTGTTACTGATGCTTACCAGGATTTGTCCTAGACAATCAAACAGAAAAAGTAGGATCCTTTAGGTTGAAACTCAAATGGATGAAAGACTAGTATGTTGGTGTGCATGTTTTGATACAAAGTTTCTGATACTAAACGTGATGTAAGAAATGTATGAAAGTCGGGACTAATGGCTGAGGTATATGGTGGGTTAGGTTAGGTTTGGTTTATGGGAATTTTGTGCTCAAGAATATATAAATTGCTTGTTTTTAGACTCAGTTTATGGAAAGTTTTGAACAATTATTTATGGTTTTTGGAGTTTAAATGGAAATCCAATAGGTAAGGGAAGGTGTATGGATGGGGTAATTGAACGGTCATAAAATAGGGATATGAAAATTGTGAGTTAGTTCATGAAGGCAATTGTTTTCTTGTTGATATAGAAGGAGAAAACGAAGAAGCAGTCTAATTTGAGGCACTCTAATTTTTGGCGATCACACCAAAAGTTCCTTGAGGATAACCACGTCCTAAGATGTAGTTGCTTTAAGCCTCTAGCTTCGGTACTTCTCATTTATTTTTGGAAATTATTATCTATCGAAGTGAACGATACATGCGTAGTTGAACAAGGGGTTGTAGCCTGTGTGGCTAGCCCTTTGGCTACCAAGTCTCCCCTAAGGAGAGGTCTTGGGTTCCACTCTTGGGAGTCGAATAGGAGGCAAGACTGGGGTGCTTGTAAGCATAAGGTGTGAGTTCAACTCATCTTAGATGCTAATCTAACAACTAATCACTGACTTTTGTTGATCCAAAAAAAAAAAAAAAAAAAAAGGAAAGAAAAATACTTGTGAAGTTGTATGTAGGTTGCTGGCTTGTCCTAGTTTTTTTAGGATAATTTAAGATCTCAAGATAAGAAAGTAAGAGACTGTTGAAATTTTATGGAGCTAATGAACACTTCATAGAAGACCTAACCATATAACTTAATCTATATGATACAAAAACCAACAATGGAGTTCATTTTTAATGAATGCAAAAATTTATTGAATGTTGTAACTCATGAGAAACAAACAATTTGCATAATTCGTGTCCCATTCATCTATTATTAATTGTTAAGAATGATGATTTTTTTGCTAAATTGATGATTTTAGTTCTCAATGACATGACCACTGCTTTCCTTTTGGCAGTTACGCTATGGTGGTCATCTAGAAAGAATACAAGAACATGTATGTTATGATAAAAACTTAAAAAGATTTATGTTGTCTATTGATTTCCTTGTCTGGAAACAAAGTTGACTCAATTCTGTTGCTTTATGGCAGTTAAATGTGGGATTTACATGTTTGGGAGGGAAGCCAAGGGAGGGTACAAGAGGCTTACATGAATTCCTCAAAGTGGTAGAAATTGTTGTGACACTGAGCTTGCTGTGTACTTGCTTGAGAATGCTGTGTTGCTCGACAAGATAACTGTCGTTTCTAGACATCCATATTACATGTGAAGGTGGGATTTAAATGACCCAATAGGCGAGGGAAATGATGCTGCTAGAGAACGTGCCAAGCAGCTGAAAACAAAACTACCCCTAGGCACTGAATTAGTGAACTTTGATTGCAAAATTGTCAATTAACTATAAATTGTTGGCTGTGGTGGCATTGATCTATATATTGTGAGAATAGTTGTGTTGTGTTAAAGGTATAGTATTATCCAATAGAGTTTTATAAAGTTACGTATTATGATTTTGTTAAAGAGGGGGCTATGATGATGTCTTCTTTTATTTGCTACCAGATAGTGATGATATTGTTTGCATAATTTTTACTTGATTACTCCTGATTGCTGTGGAATGGCCATCTCATCTGATCTAGGTTTGCTGAATATATTTTAGTTTCTTGGGTGTCTGTCTTGCCACGGCTGTGAGATCATGAACTGTCTAGATGATGATTCTATGGTGGTGGCAGCCCTTTTTTATTTTTTATTTTGTTTATTTATTTATTTTTTTTGTTGCCCTTTTTTTTCCCCACATAAATTGTTCTTTGTCTGGGCTTATATATCAAGCAGAAAACAAACTATGACAATGTTGCAAAGAAGAAACAATTTAAAAAAAATAATTCAAAAAAATGTGCATACCCTATGTACTTTACTTTTTTCCTTCATTGGATTTAAAAAAAAAAAACTATAGTTGCATTGATTTGTAACATCACTAATTTAATATATCAGAATAGTTTGTAATCAACACGAATTTCAACTATAATTTGCATATGACATGTGCCTAGATATTTCCTTGCGTTAGGTATGAGCACATGCACTAATGGATATGAATCAATCTTAATTTCGTGCGAATCAATTACTGTAAACCAAATAAAAATTGAGATAGAATTGTCTATTTGCAAATATTATTCGAAATATAATATTTAAAACCTGTTTTGACTATGTTTAACTCTTAAATAATAGGGCTGAGTAAGGAATTCGTGAAATTCGTAATTCGATTCAGTCCAGTCTAATTTGATAGGTTTGGATTGGTTTTTTGAATCCATGGTTCGGTTTCGGATTGAAGAATTAAAAATCCATAGTCTACAGATTAGTTCTGGATTGAACCTCACGGTTCTGGACTGGAATCGATTCGGACCGTATATAAATAGTCTATATTTTTATTATACATCCTCTCCATAGTATCTTCTCTTATTCCATATAAAACCTAAATTCAAACCTAAACCCGCATCATATCTTCTTTTATTACTTTTGTTAATTTTTAGTTTTAATTTGTAATGGTCTAAATACTTACGATGAAATCAATTTTCTTATGGTTGTTTAAATTCTAGAATAGTATGTTGCTATTATAGAAAGACATGTTACTATTGTGAAACTAATATAACGTTATGTTTATATTTTTATGAAATTAAAGTGTTATATATATATTTTTTTGTTATTTAATTATGTGAATCCATGGTCTTAAATCGATCCAATCCGTGTTTAAATGGATTGGTTCGGATTGGTTCCATGATTTAAACGGATTGGATTGATTCAAATTTTTCAATCCGGACCATGCTCACCCCTATTAAATAACTCAAAGTTTTGGTTTGAGAAAACAACAGTTGAATTCAGAGGTTTACCATTGTGTTTAAGGAAGGAGTTAGTTTACCGCGTCCTTTCGATGCTTATTGATTTTTATTTTTATTTATTTATCGGTGCAAGTCAGTCGTTTGATTAGCACTTATTGGAATTAGCCTCGCCATCCTTGCAAATATTTATCCATTAATTCAAAATTCTAGGATAAATTACTAGTAGGTCCTAATATTTAGATTTAATTTTCATTAAATCCTATCAATTCTTCATGAAAGTTGGTTCTAGCAAAAGACGATTAGTGACATTTTGTTGTGCCAATTTTTATTAGGATCTGCATAGAAGTTCTCTTAATTCAATTCTCTCTTACAAAGAGTTGAACCCGTGACTTTCCATTTGAAATTAAGCCATTAAGAGTCACGGGCCAATTATGTTAGGCCTAGTAAATTCTTCCCGTGACTTTCTATTTGAAACTAAGCCATTAAGAGAGTCATGGGCCAATTATGTTAGGCCTAGTAAATTCTTCCCGTGACTTTCCATTTGAAACTAAGCCATTAAGAGAGTCATGGGCCAATTATGTTAGGCCTAGTAAATTCTTCCCGTGACTTTCCATTTGAAACTAAGCCATTAAGAGAGTCATGGGCCAATTATGTTAGGCCTAGTAAATTCTTCCCGTGACTTTCCATTTGAAACTAAGCCATTAAGAGAGTCATGGGCCAATTATGTTAGGCCTAGTAAATTCTTCCCGTGACTTTCCATTTGAAACTAAGCCATTAAGAGAGTCATGGGCCAATTATGTTAGGCCTAGTAAATTCTTCCCGTGACTTTCCATTTGAAACTAAGCCATTAAGAGAGTCATGGGCCAATTATGTTAGGCCTAGTAAATTCTTCCCGTGACTTTCCATTTGAAACTAAGCCATTAAGAGAGTCATGGGCCAATTATGTTAGGCCTAGTAAATTCTTCCCGTGACTTTCCATTTGAAACTAAGCCATTAAGAGAGTCATGGGCCAATTATGTTAGGCCTAGTAAATTCTTCCCGTGACTTTCCATTTGAAACTAAGCCATTAAGAGAGTCATGGGCCAATTATGTTAGGCCTAGTAAATTCTTCCCGTGACTTTCCATTTGAAACTAAGCCATTAAGAGAGTCATGGGCCAATTATGTTAGGCCTAGTAAATTCTTCCCGTGACTTTCCATTTGAAACTAAGCCATTAAGAGAGTCATGGGCCAATTATGTTAGGCCTAGTAAATTCTTCCCGTGACTTTCCATTTGAAACTAAGCCATTAAGAGAGTCATGGGCCAATTATGTTAGGCCTAGTAAATTCTATTTGCATATGACATGTTGTGCCTAGATATTTCCTTGCGTTAGGTATGAGCACATGCACTAATGGATATGAATCAATCTTAATTTCGTGCGAATCAATTACTGTAAACCAAATAAAAATTGAGATAGAATTGTCTATTTGCAAATATTATTCGAAGTATAATATTTAAACCCTGTTTTGACTATGTTTAACTCTTAAATAAAAGGGCTGAGTAAGGAATTCGTGAAATTCGTAATCCGATCCAGTCCAGTCTAATTTGATAGGTTTGGATTGGTTTTTTGAATCCATGGTTCGGTTCCGGATTGAAGAATTAAAAATCCGTAGTCTACAGATTGGTTCTGGATTGAACCTCACGGTTCTGGACTGGAATCGATTCGTCTATATTTTTATTATACATCCTCTCCATAGTATCTTCTCTTATTCCATATAAAACCTAAACTCAAACCTAAACCCGCATCATATCTTCTTTTATTACTTTTGTTAATTTTTAGTTTTAATTTGTAATGGTTTAAATACTTACGATGAAATCAATTTTCTTATGGTTGTTTAAATTCTAGAATAGTATGTTGCTATTATAGAAAGACATGTTACTATTGTGAAACTAATATAGCGTTATGTTTATATTTTTATGAAATTAAAGTGTTATAGATATATTTTTTTGTTATTTAATTATGTGAATCCATGGTTTTAAACCGATCCAATCCGTGTTTAAATGGATTGGTTCGGATTGGTTCCATGATTTAAACGGATTGGATTGATTCAAATTTTCCAATCCGGACCATGCTCACCCCTATTAAATAACTCAAAGTTTTGGTTTGAGAAAACAACAGTTGAATTCAGAGGTTTACCATTGTGTTTAAGGAAGGAGTTAGTTTACCGCGTCCTTTCGATGCTTCTTGATTTTTATTTTTATTTATTTATCAGTGCAAGTCAGTCGTTTGATTAGCACTTATTGGAATTAGCCTCGCCATCCTTGCAAAGCACAAGTATTTATCCATTAATTCAAAATTCTAGGATAAATTACTAGTAGGTCCTAATATTTAGATTTAATTTTCATTAAATCCTATAAATTCTTTATGAAAGTTGGTTCTAGCAAAAGACGATTAGTGACATTTTGTTGTGCCAATTTTTATTAGGATCTACATAGAAGTTCTCTTAATTCAATTCTCTCTTACAGAGAGTTGAACCCGTGACTTTCCATTTGAAATTAAGCCATTAGGAGTCACGGGCCAATTATGTTAGGTCTAGTAAATTCTTCCCGTGACTTTCCATTTGAAACTAAGCCATTAAGAGAGTCATGGGCCAATTATGTTAGGCCTAGTAAATTCTCTTAACTTGACTATGGTTTTAGTGGGTTGGTTTTAATCATTATAGTTATTAATATATTTATCAAAATCATAAATATTATTTTCTTCTTCTTTTTTTAATTATAATTAATTCAATTTATGTTTTCATGGGAGCGAGAAGGGGTGGTGGCGGCCAGCACCATTGGAACTTAACTAGTGACAAGCAGTGAGGAAGGGGTGGGTGAAAAGAAGAAATTTTGTTTGTGTGGAAGAACAACACAAACTAAGAATTCAGTCTTAAAATTGCTTACATGATAAACTAGGAGGTGGGAAATGGAGAGGGGAAGGAGAGAAGGGAAGAGGTTGACTCTTTTTATCGGGTTGATTTATTTCTTTAATCCAATATATTACGGATAAAATAAGAATTCAGTCTTAAAATTGCTTACATGATAAACTAGGAGGTGGGAAATGGAGAGGGGAAGGAGAGAAGGGAAGAGGTTGACTCTTTTTATCGGGTTGATTTATTTCTTTAATCCAATATATTACGGATAAAATAAGAATTCAGTCTTAAAATTGCTTACATGATAAACTAGGAGGTGGGAAATGGAGAGGGGAAGGAGAGAAGGGAAGAGGTTGACTCTTTTTATCGGGTTGATTTATTTCTTTAATCCAATATATTACGGATAAAATAAGAATTCAGTCTTAAAATTGCTTACATGATAAACTAGGAGGTGGGAAATGGAGAGGGGAAGGAGAGAAGGGAAGAGGTTGACTCTTTTTATCGGGTTGATTTATTTCTTTAATCCAATATATTACGGATAAAATAAGAATTCAGTCTTAAAATTGCTTACATGATAAACTAGGAGGTGGGAAATGGAGAGGGGAAGGAGAGAAGGGAAGAGGTTGACTCTTTTTATCGGGTTGATTTATTTCTTTAATCCAATATATTACGGATAAAATAAGAATTCAGTCTTAAAATTGCTTACATGATAAACTAGGAGGTGGGAAATGGAGAGGGGAAGGAGAGAAGGGAAGAGGTTGACTCTTTTTATCGGGTTGATTTATTTCTTTAATCCAATATATTACGGATAAAATAAGAATTCAGTCTTAAAATTGCTTACATGATAAACTAGGAGGTGGGAAATGGAGAGGGG